CAGGAGCTGCCGCCGCTGCGGCCGAGCGAGCGCCGTCGGGGCGGGCGGGAAGAGGCGGCGGGCTGGAGCTGGAGGGGAGCTGGGAGAGCTCACCCACCACCTTCCCTTCCCCCCTCGATGGGAGCGGGGGCGTCCCGGCCGCCGCCGCCGCCTGAGGAGAGCCGGGGGCCGTCACTTCGGAGTTGGGGCTGAGCAGTCCGCGGAGGAGAGCGTGCGAAGACCGCTGCAGCCGCTGACCGAGTACGTACAACAACTCCCTGCCCACCAAGTGCGGGGCGCTCCGCGGGCCAACTTGGGTTGTCTGCGTGGCCAGGCCACTCGGGGACGTGGGGCGCGGGCCTGGCGCGGCCCCCACCGGAAAGCGAGGGAGGCTTCGGGCGCGTGTGGGCGATTCCGGGAGAGATCTATGCCGGGGCCTCGGGGCGGGCGAGTGCGGCAGCGGCCGGGCGTGAGCGTTTCCCCATCCGAAAGCCGGGCTTGCTGGGTCTGGGTCGTAGCGCTGCGCCCGGAGAGTCGTGGGGTGCATAGAGCGGTGTGTTCTGCCTCTTTGCGCGCCCTGGCCTCAGAGTTTTGCAGCGACCTTCGCCAGGGGCAGTCTTTTTGTTTGTTTACTTTATAAAAGTGCTGCACTTACGTCTAATTTTTTTCTTTGGGAATCCTCCCCTTCCAAATATAGTTGTTTGGAAAGCGGAAGGAGAGTTTTGCTTGGAAGTAGCCTATAGAAAAGAAACTTGGCACCGTGGTACAGGGAAGTAAGAGACTCTTTGTGTTGGTTGAGGCCGAATGTGGAATTTACATACATACACGTCTGCGGGATGTACTGGCCGAGGATGTAGAGGTGTATGACCTTATTCAGGGAGGAACATGGAAAGTGTTATCAAGTATTTGATGTGCCATATACTTACCTCTCAACTTGCTGAGATCCAGGAGCATGGAAGATTTTTGGGGTGGCTGTCAATTTAAAATTTCATACCAAAGAGTCTATTTGGAGTAACCTGTCACTACCAATTGGCTTGCCAGTGACGTGTCTGCAAACTGAAGGAGAGCAAAGATCAGAAGCTTAGAGGGAAATTCTCAGATCTTGTTTAAAAATATTTTGGCAGTCTTAATAGGTAATATTAGATTGCATAGGCACAGAGAACCGAATTTAAAACGGATTAGTCACATTGGAAATGCTTAGCTGTTTTGTTAGGAAAGTGTGCATGCAGTGAATTACCTACTTCAATGTTCACTTTTTAAAAAAGATGTTTTCCCTGTGCAACATACCCAGTTATGACATTTTTAAATTTATATGTGGGTTTTCAGGAGGAATATAGTAAGAGAGGATGCATGTGATTTTCTTCCTCTCTATTGTGGAGACTATCTTCCTGAAGACTTAAAAGAACTGCTTTCAAGTGCCTAATCGAATCTAAGTGCCAATAGAGCGGCTGTTAAGATTCAAGGATACCTTTTTTCCCTCCATATTTGTATTATTTGAGACATTTGTTATTGCTCTTTTATTAAGCCCTAGAATTATATTGTCCTTATAGGTATTTACATGTCAATAGGGTTTCTGTGAATTTGTAGATGACTGACAAGGTCAGCCTTTGGTATTGGATTTAGGAAATATAAATCTTGAAAGAAAGTAATTTAAGGGAACCTTTGGAATATTGTTTGCTTTAATTTTGTTATCTGTATTATCTTGCACTAACGTTAATAGCACATCTTAATGACATCTTGGTATTGGAGAAATTTGCTCTGCCCTAACGGGTCGCTGTGAGGCATAATGACTGGACAGTAATGGGAAGTGGGTCTGGTTAAAAGCAAATGTATCAATACTGATAATAAAACACCATTGAGGATTTTAAATTTTATTTCACTTAGCCTGCTAATTGTTGATGTAATTCAAATAACAAAATCCGTAGGCTTTCTATAGTTGACACAAGTAAATTTAGTGAGCTTCTATATATAATAATTAATTTACATTTAGTTTTTTAAGTTACTACTAAAATTGAATAATCTCAGCTAAATTTATTTTAAATTTACCTTTTGTGTTTTAGCTAGCAAATGATATCCACTGCTCTACAGGAAAGTCAGTAGGTTTTCAGTTTCCTTGGATTATTTAGGGAATCGGTTAAAGCATTAGATGTTTTCTGTTAATCATACTCCCAACTATGGACATATTGGTTTAATATTATGGATTTTTATAATTTGCACTGTGGATGATTTGAAAAAAGAAATTATGTGTATTTAAAGGGGGGGTACCATTGAAGAATTGGTTGCATAAACTTTTAATAATTTAAAGATGGTTGGGTAGAAATAGAAGTATGCCATGTTTTTGTGTATGTTGACCTATTACTTGGCCTAAGATTTAGGCCTCATCTATTTTATTGTAATAAGCCTGTAGTTGATTTGTTGGTGCTACACATGTGCATTATTGAAAATGACAGTTCTGTAAAAATTGACATTTAAATGTAAAGCAGCACTCACAAAATCATGATCTGTTTTGTGTTACTTTGATGGAAGTGACCATATTATGTTTTGAATAGCTCAAAATTCTATGAATGTAGTGTAGTCAACTTGTCTATGAATATTTCATGATAAAGTTTACTAAATATATGACAGAATAAATAGTACCCAGTCAAGCATAATACAGGATTGCTAGCCTTTTTTTTGCATTTATTTTTATCTTGGCTACTTCTTTTATTCTTTTCAGTAGTAAAGTGAAGAACAGTGTAGTTGTTTTTATTCAATAAAAACTTCTTTCTGATGTGACATACTCAATAACTCATGCAATTGTTATTGAATTGTCGTGAATGGTGGTTATGGTTATGTGCTGTGGAGTCGGTTCCGACTCATAGCGACCCTGTACAGGGTTTCCAAGGCTGTGAATCTTTACGGGACCAGAAAGCCTCATCTTTCTCCTGTGGAACAACAGCTGGTCATTTTGAACTGCTGATCTTGCGGTTCGCAGGCCGATTTGTAACCACTACGCTACCAGAGATCCTTAATAGCATAATATGCTTCCTTAAATTTAATAATGAGCAAGTGGGAAATTGAGACATTGTTGTTGGAAAAAAATAGTAATTTTCATTTTGTTAGAGTCCGCATAGCTAAAACATAGTATTAAGGTTTCAAATAGATTGTCGTTTCTCAGTGCATTGTATTTGGGAGCTACGTGTTAATTTGCATGGTATCTTAATGTAATCATGATTTTTAAAGAGAAAGTTCTGAGAAATGTTAAAATTTATATGTATATTGCATACCACTAAGTACTTAAAAAAATAATTAACTACCATATACGGATGCATATGGACCCTGTACAACAGACAGGACTGTCCAACGCTGTAAATCTTTAAGGAAGCAGATGACCACGTCTTTGTTTTGTGGAGCTGCATGTAGTTCTGAACTGCTGACCTTTTGGTTACTAGCCAAGTACTTTAACCATTTTGCCACCAGACTCCTACTAAATGCTCAGAGGTCACTTAATATTTGTTGAATGATTTAACTAGTGGGTCTGGTTTCCCATTTAGGCCTTTTGGCGCTGTGGGATAAAGCACTGGACCAAGAAGGTTGGTTTGAACCACAAAGTCAGTGGTTCAAACTCACCAGCCACTCCTTTGAAATCCTGTACAGGGTTGCTATAAGTCGGAATTGACTTGATGGCACTTAAGAAAAAGAACAATAAGGCTTACCTAGCATTAAATAAAATAATTAAACAAGTGTATGGTGGTTATGTGCCGTGGAGTCAGTTCCAACTCATAGCGACCCTGTACAGGGTTTCCAAGGCTCATTTGTTAGCAAACTAAATCTGGTTCGTGTGTTTAATTGTGATAGCTAAATTTAAACTTAAACTTTATTGAATACTTTCATTGAATGATTAAGGATTTTTTTTTTCCAGTTTTAATTGAGAAAATAATTAGGAGAGGACATTTGGATTCCAAAATTGCCATTAATACATTGAAAACTATATGTTGAATTTATGTGTATGATAGTAATAAGATCCCAGAGTGTCTTGTCTTAAGATAGATCACTAAATGCATGCTATCAAATGTTGTCTGGGTAAAATTGTTTGGAACTTTTGAAACACATTATATACCTGAGTTAGTACCCAGGCTAACCCATGCAATCTTGAGTAACCCATGATGTAACTGAACTATCTTTAATTGAGTTCTTACAGTTCCTGGATTCTAGGCCTAGCACAAAAGCGAGAATAATTCATTTCCTAGACAGAAGATTCATTCATTCCTAAGTCAGGATGTATTTTCATAAACCCTTTGGTGTCAGCCTGTAGTGTACCCCCATTACACCCTTTTCCCCAATCTCCTTACCTACCTTCACACTACACTCTTCCAAATTTGGCAGTACTTCAGAGTTTAAAATGTATCCTCTGTCCTCACATTTTCTGTTTTCCTTCCTCCCAATTTCCCATTTCAGTCTTTCATTCCCTTAGCGTGCAATGGATCCCATCTAGAGGTTGAGGAAAACAGTCAGGTGTAACTACTTCACCTCAGTAACAACAATAACTGTGGTGCCATTGGATAAGTGCTTGACCTCAAGATTGGTTTGAACCACAAGGTCTCCTCAGAAACCCAATACAGAGTTGCTATGAGTTAGAACTGACTTGACAGCATTTAACACTTATTATTTTTTAAATCAGTGATTGTTATAGCAGAGAGGGTAGGAGACTCAAGAGAGCAGTGATTATGAATCCATTTGGGGAGTATTTCTTGGAAAAAGAGCTTTGTTATGGGAGTGAACCACATTGTTTTCTAACAAAGAGGCCATATTGAGCATGAGAGAAAGAAAAAGGTTGCAGGTAAAGTAGCAGAATATTCTATTATTAGGTTGGTAATTCATCATAGATGGTGTCCCTTTTGGAATATAAAAGAAGGCTGCTTGAGCATTGGATTTCATTTAGCAGCAACTTTTACAAATGTGTTGTACATAGAACACTTTGCTAGGAGAAGAGATGAATGAGACCTAGTCCCTACCCTCTGGGAACTTACAGCCTAACAGTCTCTGCTATTTAGAACCAGGTCTCTGTTCCCATGGTTCTTTATCTGTAGCAGTGTGTAGCTTTTATCACAGTCCTTTAAGTGTCTATTTATTTGTCTGACTCCTTAACTGTTTCTCCATGAAGGACCATCTTGTCTCTGTATCCACAGGAAAGGCTCTGTACCTGGCACATTTGAATAAGTGAATGAAAAATGGGTAGTTGTTACTAAGTGTTGTCGAGTCGGTTCTAACACTAGCAACCCTGTATAGGGTTTCCCAGGAGTGGCTGGTGAGTTTGAACGGCTGACCTTGTGGTTCAAACCGACCTTGTGGTCAAGTACTTATTCTACAGTGCCACATCAAGATTCCTGAAAAAAACAAAAGAGGAATCTAAATAAAGTCTTTTGAGAGTTCCGAGAAGGGAGAGGACACCTTTATCCAGAGGATGTGGGAAACGGTTTATGAAAACGACATGTAGGTTGGCTGGAGCATTCTGGGTGGCATGCCTGACACAGGGCAGGGAAACAGAGGGACATTTTAGGAACGCCTAGTGTATTTGTGTGACAGGAGCATAGGAACATGTTAGAGAACAGTGAGAGAAAGGAGGCTGGGAAGGCTGTTTTGGGTCTGGGATGACTACATGAATAGTTGGAATTTTGTTTTTTATTCAGTAGGTTGCCAGTATCGTAGTGGTTGCGAATCAGCCTGCAAACCTCAAGGGCAGCAGTTCAAAACTACCAGCTGCTCTGTGGAAGAAAGAGGAGGCTTTCTGCTCCCATAAAGATTTACAGCCTCGGAAACCCTGTTCAGGGTCGCTATGGGTTGGAACCGACTTGACGGCACTTAACAACAACAACAACAACAAAGTTGCCAGTATGGAATGTATTGAAAGTGAGGAGGCTGTTTGAAAACTGGGCATGAGGCAGTGCAAATTGGAATTAGATGTTTTGCTTTTGAGGCAGAGAAAGAGAAAGAATGTTGTAGGGAGGACAAGTGGATTTAGAAGTTACAAGAATGTTTTTGTCTAGAAGACTGAGGTGTTGTGAACATGAAGATGAACTAAAAGAACCTGGAAGATCACAGAATATGTAGGAATTGATGGTGCCGAGGGCATTTTCATGGATCCACAATTAACATTCGTGGAAGCAGTCCTCAAGAAATCAAACAACTTATTGCTTTAGGCAAATCTTCACAACACCTCCTTAAAATGAGCAAGAGCAAAGATGTCATTTTGGGGACTAAGATTTGCCTGATCCAACCATAATATTCTCAGTTTCGTCATATTCATGTGAAAATTAGACAGTGAATAAGGAAGATCATAGAAGACTGTTGAATTACTGTGTTGGAGAAGAATATTAAAAGTACCATGGACTGCCGGAAGAACAAATCAGTCTGTGTTGGAAGAAGTACGGCCTAAATGTTCCTTAGAAATTAGGATGGCCAGACTTTGTCTCTTTTACTTCGGACATGTTATTGGGAGGGACCAGTCCTAGGAGAAGGACATCATGCTTGGTAAAGTGGAGGATCAGCGAAAAAGGAGAAGACTCCCATGAGATAGATTAGCATAGTGGCAGCAACAGTGGGCTCAAGCGTAACAACAATTTTGAGGATGGCACAGGACCGGACAGTGTTTCGTTCTGTTGTACATGGGGTTGTTATGGGTTGGAACTGACTGGATGGCACCTAACAACAACAACAGAGGGAATATTAAATGAGGGATCTTCTAGTGTAGTTTGCTAAATTTGCCTCATTATGGAACTCTTCTGAGATATAACTCAGGGACTTGAGTCCCTGTAGTTTTCAGAAGTACTTGGGGTGATTTCCTGGATACTTAGCTGAGAATTTTGTTGTTTGCTGCCATCGCCATACTCTTGGTAACCCCATGCATGATGGAATGCAACATTGCCCCATTCTTTCCTGGCCCTGTGATCGGTTGTAGATTGGACAGTTATGATCCAGAAGGTTTTCATTGACTGACTTTTGGAAGTAGATCACCAGAGCTGTCTTAAGACCAAATTCTGTCTTAGTCTGAAAACTCCACAGAAACATGTTAAACGTTGTGCACCATGAAAGCCTCCACTGACAGTTGGGTGGTGGTAGTTGCACATGAGGTACGTTGCCTGGGAATTGAACTTGGGTCTTCTGCATGGAAGGTGAGGATTTCTATCCCTGAATTACCACACCCTGCTAGCAGAAAATAGTATGTCCCTTAGTCAGTCAGTTTTGGAGTTTTGAAAAGTCACCAGGCAATGCTCATATTAGCCATTTTACAACAAGTAGCCATAAAATTTGAAGAGGTCCCTAATTGATCAAAGCAGATTGTAGATGCCCAAGGAGGTGTCAGGAAATGGAACTGCTAGGAGTTAATCCTTAGAGTGGTAGGAGAAGCATTTCCTCCCTTAGGGTGACTGAGTCAAAACTCTTTCCCCCCTGAAAAAGGTCTTTATTTTACTTATGGTTGGGATGAGGGTACAATGGACACAAACAGGGACAGGGATGCACGCAGTTCTTGGCAACTGCCTTCCTCATAGCAGCCAGGACATTGCTTAGCTCCTTTTGCTTCCTCTTGGCATGGATATGTGGATATGTGTCCCCACCCTTTTCTTGATGAACTTGGGCGCCTGCTTGTCCTTAGAGACCTTGAGCAGCTTCATGTCAAACTGCTTGTGGGGCGTGAAGCCTCACACTTCCCAGGTCCTGTCCTACATGACGTTGGTATGCTTAGTGAGGCACTCTTGCTCTTGTTTGTGGTCACCTTGTTGAGACCCATGGCCATAAGGACTGTTATTCTGCAATGGCTACTGTGGCGGGGCTGAGACTAGAAATTTTGTTGAGTATTCTGCCCACTCGTGGATTTGGGTGACCTCCTACCCTTCAGGGATGTTTAATATTCCTGTATTTTCAGTATCTCTCAGTTAATATTACTCCCTACTGTTTTGGAGTCCTGGTATAGCCCTGCAGGATAATTCAATGGACCACAAGGTCAATCTGAGCTGCATGATTGGTGGTTCAAACCCACCAGCTGCTCCTCGGGTCACTTTGAGTTGGAACTGACTTGCTGACACTTAACAGTAACTGCTCTGAGTTGAGAGTGTAGTTTCCATTTTTTTTCATTGATGTATATATGCTTTAAAACCTTCTGTGATCTTCACAGAGGGCTACAGAGTTATTTTAATCCTAGGGGCTGCTGCATTGATTACAAGCTTATTTGTTTCATTTAAATGAAAGTCTTTGGCCAGCTTCTCTTTACATGTGGGAGGCCTGCAGACAACTGTGAACAACTTTTTAGTGCTGCAGAGAGGTCAAAAAGTACTTTGCTGGATCTTGTTCTGTCTTTTAAAGGCAGTCCTCTGTCTTGCTTAGACTCTTAAGAGTGTTTCTTCCTTGCCTGTGTCTTAGGTTCTCCGTTGCTTCTTTGGAGGGCTCAATCCACTCTCCTGATAACATCTTACATCTCAAGCTCTGTTATACTCGTAGAGTTTAGTTTGTTGTTTTATATGTAAGTCATTCTACTTAGCATTCTATCATGAGAGCCATGTTCAAATGCCATGTGCTTAACAGGGAATCTGTTATCTGATTTTCCTTTACCCTCAACCGGTTATCCTACTTCTAGCCTCTTAGGCATGCAGCCCCTGTGCTTAACTCTTCTCTTGCAGAAACCAAAGAAAGTGTCAATAATGGTAACTATCTCCTCTCCATCACTTAAACCTAAGTGATCATGAGGTCCTTTTGTTTGTTTTAAAATTTTGCTGCTTTTTTTTGCCCCTGGTTCCAAACTATACTAGCTTTTATGTTCACCTACCAATTCATACTGAAATCTATCTTTCACTACCTGCTGAACTATTCTTGCTAATTTTTCTGTATCTGAAGAGATAACAGAGCTGTCGTGAGGATTAGCCAAAATGTTAAGTGGAGTGTTTATTGCCTGACGTAAAATAAGTACTCAGGAAATGGTAGCATAATGTATGTTTTATTTCCTGGATTTGGACTCCACTTTTGTGCCTTTGCCATGGAAGCAGCAGTGAGTCTAGTCAAAAGTATGAGTGATAGAGCCCTTGGGGCCTTGGTTGTGAGATCTTGGGAAAGTTATCTTGAGTTTTTACTTTCTCCTCTTTAAAATGGTAATAATTGTAGTGGCCTTGTGGTGGCCAGGACTGTAAAATGAATATAGTATATATATGTAGGGTGTGCATCTTAAAGTCATGTATATGTGCTTGTTTTTATTATCCCCATATTGCATTCCTAAATTCTTTGGCATCTAACCTATTTGGTTTAAGAAGTTACATAATAAATATTTTCTTTCTTCTTTTTGCAGATTAAACCCATCCACAGTAATGGCTGCAGCCTTACCTAGGACCCTAGGGGAGTTGCAGCTATACCGAATATTGCAAAAAGCCAATCTACTCTCTTATTTTGACGCCTTTATCCAGCAAGGTGGTGATGATGTCCAGCAACTCTGTGAAGCCGGAGAAGAGGAATTTTTGGAAATCATGGCACTTGTGGGCATGGCTAGCAAGCCCCTTCATGTTAGAAGGCTACAAAAGGCTTTGAGAGACTGGGTTACAAACCCTGGCCTTTTTAATCAGCCACTGACAACTCTTCCTGTCAGTAGCATACCTATCTATAAATTACCGGAAGGATCTCCAACATGGCTGGGAATATCCTGCAGTAGTTATGAAAGGAATAGCAATGCCCGGGAGCCTCATTTAAAAATCCCCAAATGTGCTGCTACCACTTGTGTGCAGAGCTTGGGACAAGGGAAGTCAGATGTGGTGGGGAGCTTATCACTGCAGAGTGTTGGTGACTCCAGACTCTGGCAAGGCCACCATGCCACTGAAAGTGAGCACAGTCTCTCGCCAGCAGACCTTGGCTCCCCAGCATCCCCGAAAGAAAGCAGTGAGGCACTGGATGCTGCCGCCGCGCTCTCTGTAGCAGAATGTGTAGAGCGCATGGCCCCCACACTGCCCAAAAGTGACTTAAACGAAGTGAAAGAGCTGCTAAAAACCAACAAGAAGTTGGCCAAAATGATTGGTCATATCTTTGAAATGAGTGATGACGATCCACACAAAGAGGAGGAAATTCGAAAATATAGTGCAATATATGGCAGGTTTGATTCAAAGAGAAAGGACGGGAAACATCTCACACTTCATGAGGTAAGAGTCCCACTTTGTCCTTTGTCTGTATATATTTCAAGAGTTACTGTTCCATTAGAGATATATTTGGTAATAGTATGCAGCAAAGGAGATGGACTCCTTGGAAAGCAGTGTTAAAAACATTTGTTATTGTCATAGAGTTGGTTCTGATTCATAGCAACCCTGTGTAGGGTTTCCAAGGAACAGCTGGTGGGTTTGAACTGCTGACCTTAGGGTTCACAGTCCAGTACTAATCCTACAGCACTACACCAGAAGTCCTAAAAACATTTAGGTGTTAGCAAAATAAAACTCTTCTATTTTATGGAAATAGACCATAGTTATTATATTAGGGGTATTTTTGTATTGAACTTAAATACTAGTATGTTTGATTTAAAACGACAGCATAAGGTGACTTAGAAATCTCTCCAAATGTATTTATGCAGTTTATTTTTAAGTAAGAAACTAAATAAGCCTTTAAATATAATCATATAAAAACATTTTGTATAAATAACAAGAAGTTAAAGCAATTTTCAGTTAGCACAGAAAAAAAAGTTACATTAGATGGATGTTGAAAGAATTATTGATTCTCTGAACATTGTTTTGATTTGACAGTAAACACTGTCATTATTTTATCTTTGTAGCACTCTCCTCAGAAATATTTTATGTAAATGCAAGGAAAACACACACACACACACACACACACACACACACGTATACATACAGCATTTACATTTATTTCCTTTCTCCCCTTATTTATCTGACCAGAATGTCATTTTTGTATCCCCAGGGTCTTTTGTACCCAGTAAGTGCTTGGAAAATAAGAGCATTTTCAAAAGTTAGAAAAGATATTTCATACCTAAAATTTATACTTTAGAAGAAAAAAATATAATCCACCTTAAAAAAAATGTCTAGGTTGAATGCAGTATTTCATGTTCAACAAGAGATATTTTCTGCCTTAGATTTATACTTTAGCATGAAAAAAATGTATATCTATTATTTTGGCTTACTTTAACAAAATATTCAGGCATTAAAAGATGTGGGGAAAAAAAGGATGTGAAGTACTCAGATACTTCTTTCTATATATGAAATAAATATCATATTTTGCATACTGGCCTTCAAATTCTTTTTTTTTTTTTTTTTTTTAAAAACAAAACTTTTTTAACTAAGCAGTACACCCACAGTACAATATGCTATTGTTGTTGTTAAGTACTGTGGAGTCGTTCTGACTCAGTGACCCTTCACAGGGTTTCTGAGGCTGCAAATCTTTATGGGAGCAGAAAGCCTCATCTTTTAACCGCGGAACAGCTGGTAGTTTCAAACTGCCAACCTTGAGGTTAGCAGCCTACTTCATAACCACTATGCTACCAGAGCTGCTTACAGTATGCTATTAAGTGTCTTTTTAAGTCAATATACATAGAGCTACTTTATTCTTTTATGGGTTGTATTGTATTTGATAGTTTTCAATGCACTGTTACTTAACAGAGCTACTTTATTTTATGGGTTGTATTGTATTTGATAGTTTTCGATGCACTGTTACTTAACAATTACTTGGTAGTATTGACTTTTTAAAAATATTTTATTGTGAATTATATGATAGTTTACATGGGAGAGCATTACTTTTACTGTAATATTGACTTTTTATTTAAAAATTTTTGATATTGCATGCTGTGCTGCATGTAATTCTAAATAGAATGGGTTTTCACATGTAAATTATGGGATCAAAGAACATGTAGATTTAACATTTTAATACCAAATAAAACAAACCCACTATCATAAGGTCAATTCCTTACAGGAATATATATTTATTATTTAGATCTTTTAGATTCCACAATAATTTTATAGCTCTTCTCGGGTTCTGCGCATTCTTATTTTGTCACGTACTATATATTATGTATGCATATATTAAATGTCTACTATATGTGTATTTATTTGGAATATAAAGAGGATATAACTGTAATGGTATTCTTTTTTCTCGTGTTTCTAATGGCTATCAGTGACTGATTTTTGTATATAAATTTTTTTTTTTTTAGCAATCTTACCACCTAATTTTTTTTTTTTAAATAAATGATTTTAGATATGAGTGGATACTGGAATTTAAGATTAGAGAATTGGTTGGAAGAATGACTTACATAGAAAATTTCTTTTTTCTTTTGGTATAGTGATTTAATCTATCTGGTATATATTTTTCTATTGTTATGTATTATTGTTACAATGTAATAATTGCCAAACAAGATCTTGTGAGTAAACCCAGAATATAACAGTATTAGACTCTTGGTGTTGCACTAAAGGTTAATGCTATGCTGGACTGAAAAGTTGATTGAACCACAAGGTTGATGGTTCAAGCTCTCCAGCCACTCGTTGGAAACCCTATACAAAGTCACTATGGGTCGGAAGTGATTTGAAGACATCACTTACAACAACAACAATACGGTAGAAGTCCTGGTATGGGGCTGTAAGATTAAGCCCTGGACTGCTTACCACAAGGCCAACATTTCAAACCCACCAGCAACTTCTTGGAAACCCTATACGGGTTCTCCGTGAATCAGAATCGACTTGATGGTAATGGTACTTAACACAACAACATTATAATTCAGAATATACTTTGATATTTTTTTATTACCTGCAAATAAGTAGAGAAATCTACCTAAAATGCTGTTTGTCAATAATCAGAAAACAAAGACCAAAAGTGTTAGTGATTGCAGTTTCATTCTTTGATTAGTTTTTATAGCAAATGAAACAGAGTTGAGTTAGAAGATGCATTGTTGTTAAGGTTAAAAATACTTTCTAGAGATTACATTTTAGTAAATCAAATCAGCCTCACTTTTTTCCACTTTTGGCTTAATTTTTAAAAGCGAAATCCCTAAAGAAATCTTTCACACTTCACTTTTGTTGAGGAGCTGTTTGTTCTTTAGATAAACAGGTACAGGTGCTGTTTGAGTAATGAGATTTTTGTGGGTTTCTTAAAATAAGGGAACACTCAAAATGAATGCCAGTAGGCTGAGATGTAGGGATAGGGCTTTGAAAAATATGCTTTGTGTATTTGGAACTTAAGTTAGATCACTTGTTACTTATCATTCAAGTATGTGGTCCAGTAATATAGTTTAGGGTGTAATGTAAGTTTATGAATTTGGAAGCTTTCTTCAAACTACTTTGGAGGAAATGATCAAATATTGAGGGAAAAAAAAAGTGCTATTAAATGTACCTCTAGGTGTTGTAATAATTTTGCCTCCCCCCCCCATTTTACTATTTAAAATAAGAAAAAAAGATAAGTTCACCCTCAATTTCTAAATAAAGAAACTAATAGACTTATTCTTAATTAATTGTTGACAGTATTTCTGTAAGTTTTCTTCATATAAAACCCTTCTGGATATTTTCAATCCTTCAAGACATAAGAGTTTGCAAGCCAGGAATGGATGAAAATCAGGAAGTTGTGTGTACCTGAATGTTTTTTTTTCAACTCTCACAAGTACCTAGGAGTCTCTTCTTGTGTGCATTTTTACACTTGCTTACAAATGGATTGTATGTAGTACAATAAAGAATTATGTATAATAAGGATGAATCACTGTAAAACACTTAAAAATATTAAATATGGACTTAATAATAGGATTTAGGTAATAAAGAAAGTGAGGAGATTGAGACTTAGAATCAAACAAATTGTTGTATCAGTGATTGGATGAAGATACATAAGATAAAAAGTTGTGAATAGGGCGCATTACATTATATTCTTGTAGATATAGCAATTGCCAGCCAAAAAGCTTGTGTAATTCAAAGGTAGAAGGGGGTAGGACATGTAAAATGAATGAGAATGTTACAGACAGAGTAGAAATTGGCATTAGGGTGCTAAACAGGTTGCTAAGATATGGGATAAAGTCCATTGAAGAAGCAATAATTAATGCCAAACTTAGGTCAATTTCCATAGAAGTGCTGAGGAGTTAAAACTGAGTGCTTAGAATGGACAGATTTCACATCTACTACTGGGGGGAAAAAAGTTGGACATTTTCATCTGGTGATTTTTAAAATCATCCGAATTGTTAAATGGATTATTTTGATGACTTTTAAAAAAATGAATTATAGGGCTGTTTAGATAATCTATCTCTTCTTGTGTCAGTTTTGATAGATTGTATTTTTCTAAGAATCTGCCCATTTTCAAATTTACTGGCATAAAGTTATTTATAATTTCTTCTGGTAGCGTAGTGGTTACGAATCGGGCTGCGAACCTTAAGGTCAGCAGTTCGAAACTACCAGCCACTCCGCGGGAGAAAGATGAGGCTTTCTACTCCCGTAAAGATTTACACCCTCGGAAACCCTGTATAGGGTCGCTATGGGTCGGAATTGACTCGACGGCACTTAACAACAACAACAACAACAAGGTCATATATTATTTGTTGGGGAGTGTGGTGACTTTGTAGGATAAGCACTGAACTTTGAACCACAAGGGCAACAGTTCAAGCCTCCCAGTCACTCTCTGAGAGAAAGATGAGCCTGTCAACTCCTACAGATTTATAGCTTTGGAACCCCTATATAGTGTCGCTATGAGTCAATACTGACTTGACAGTGCTTGTAGCAATAACAACAACAACAGTGTTGAATTAAAGAGCCCTGGGGGTGGTGTAGGATAACCACTAGATTATTCACCATAGGGATGGCAGTTCAGACACACCCACTGCTCCACAGGAGAAAGGAAGCTTTCTGCTACAGTGAAGATTTATAGCCTTACAAACCTTATACAGGGTCATTAGGAGTTGGAATTGAAGTCAGTTGGATTTAAAAAAAATATATATATATTGTTTGTGCATTTTATCTGTTTCTCTATCCCAATCATTCATACCAGAGCTTTGTCAGTTACATTAATCTTTTCCAGGAGTCTGCAAACTGCAGCCCATGGACCATCTCTGACCTATTGACACCTGTTTTTTTTCTCTTAATACTGTGTTTTCAGAGATTGACCACCACCTGTTTTTCTAAATAAGTTTTTATTAGAATACAAGCGTGCCTATTTGTTTTATGTATTATCTATGGCTACATTTGTGCTACATTGATAGAGTAGTTATGACATAGACAGGGTATGAAACAAAATATTGCTACTTGTTTTATTGTTGGTTTCTTTAACAAAAATTTTGCACTCATCTTTTTGAAGAAGCAATTTTGGCTTAGTTGATATTCTTAGCTATGCAGGGTATATGTGTATTTTTACTTTCTTATTGTTCTTTTTCAACTTAGTTACTTATGAGTTCATTAATGTTCAGCCTTTTCTGATATAAACATTTAAAGCTATAAATTGGTACTACTAGTGTTATTCCCGAAGTTTTTTTTATGAGGGCTATTTGTTTTTCAACGAAAACTATTTCCCTTTTCATATGATTCCTCTCTGATCCATAATTTATTTCAGGTATGAGGGGATTTTCCCTTAGGTATTTTTCCTAATGACTATTAACTGAATTACATCATGGTCAGAGAGCATAGTTTCATGATGCCGATACTTTAAAGTTTATTGAGGGTTTAGTTATGGTCCAGGACATGGTGAGTGTTTTGTATAATGTACAGAAACAGTGTTCTCTACAGTTGTTGGTGAAGTCTCCTGTACATAGTGTTTTAACAAACTCATAAATTGTTAATCAAACTGCTTTATATTCTTTTCTATTTTTTTTCTTGGTCTGTTTTATCTATCAGTAACTAAAAATGGGTTAAAATCTCCCACTATAATTTTATTATATAGTAATCTTAAGTTTTTAATAAAGTACTTGTGTTAAGAATTTATTTTATTTTATTGTACTGTAAGTACATGGGACCATGGTGGCTCTCTCTTTGTAATCTGCCAGCCGCTTTGTGGAAGAAAAATGAGGTTTTCTGCTACAAAGAGTTACAGCCTTGGAAACTGTATACAGGGTCACTATGAATTGGTACCAACCAGACAGCACTTAGCAACAATATTTTGTAATTACTTTTCACATCTCTTTTTCTTCTCATAACTTTCAGCCTTTCTGAATCCATATGTTTTGGGCATGTTTATTGTGAATACCAATAGCTGGATCTTTAAAGAATCAAATCTTAGATATTTTTGTCTTTTGGTGAGAATATTTGGTCCATGTACATTTGTTACGATTTCTGTTCTGGATTTATGCTCATTTTATATTTCTTTTTTCACCACCTTTTACCTTAGACTTGGAGTCCTGATGTGGCGCACTGCAAGATAATGCACTGGACCGTAAGGTTGGCAGTTCAGACCTCATCAGCCACTCCTTAGAAACTCTATTCAGGGTTGCTATGAGTCAGAACCGATTCAATAGCACTTAACAACAATAACATACCTCAGACTTAATCATTTGGGATTAGTTTTTTTTTTTTTTTTTTGTCTAAAGTGCATTATTTAGAATTTTCCTAAATGCCTGCTTATGGCAGACTCTGTCCTCCAACTCGCTGGAAAATCTCTTGATTTTGCAATTATTTCTTAGCTTCTTTTGAAATCTTTTTTCCTCTACCCCAATTTCTTTCTCCTCTCATTCTGAATAATCAATTTTTCATGGTCATTTTTACCATATTACTTTTTAGTCAATTCCTTTGGTTTCTTCAAGGGCCCCTGGTGGCACAGTGGGTTAAGCACTGTGGACTGCTAACTACAAGGTTGGTGGTTCAAACCTACAGAATGCTCTGTGGGAGAAAGATAAGCTGTCAGCTCCAGTGAAGATTTACAGTCTTGGAAACCTTAGGGAGCAATTAATTCTACTCTGCCCTGTATAGGGTTGTTATGAGTCAGAATTAACTTGACGGCAGTGAGTTTTCTTGTTTTATTTCTTTTCAGGATCTGATTCTGTTGTATATTGTTTCTGCTGGTTTTCAATTATGATGCTTGTTGCTTTGACTGTTTTATGATTTCTTTCTATGAACTCATGTATTTGGAGCTTTATCTGCTTTTTTTCACATTTAAAAATGTTTTTATTGTGAATTGAGTGGAAGATTACAGAGTAGATCATCAGTTTTATACTCACCAAATCATATACTTCACTTCATTTCATTGATTGTAATTCCCTCCATGTAACATCAGCTATACCACTTCCTCCCTGTAATTTTTGTTACTATTCCACCTATTTTCCCAACCCTTCTGACCTTTGCCCTGTCTGCGGGAATGTTTGGAAGCTTGGAAAGAAAGTGGATCCCCCTAGAGATAATTTGCTTTATCTTCTACTAGGCATGTGGAGATACTACTACTCCGGGACCCTCTGAAATTAAAATCCCAGCCCACTTAATATGAATTGGGACTGAAGATTCATGTTGAGGGTTGGTTTGGGGTTATGAAATCTCAAGAGAGTATGTTTCTTTTTCTCCTATTTAGTATCAAGGTTTAAGACAGCTAATTTTATTTGCATTCCCTTAGGAGACCAGATGTATTTCTAATTTCCTTAGGAGTCCAGATGGATTTCTAATGCTAATATAAGTCCTTATATTAGGATTTCACCTTTGATAAAGGGAGATCTTAGATCTCTGACTAGTCACCTTTGATACCCTGAGTTTCCCCTCATGCTCTGTTCCCACATCACCTAACTGTGAAGATTGAAGCACAGGCTTCATCTAGTTTAGCATCTTCTTGCTCTGAAATACTGTCTTCATTAGTTTGGGCCTGAACAGTCCTCCTTATGCTTGCCAGCTTATTGATGTACTTAAGAAATTAAATACCCCCTCCTCCCCCTTGACACCCCATTTTATCCAACATTTTTTGTTTCCTGTGAGGAAGGCCTGTCTTGGGACCAGGTCCTCCCTAGTGCTGAAAAGTCTTGATAGTGTTTTGAGCCTCCCCTATTGCATTGCATTCACATACTGGTTTTATGCCAACAATACTTAACCAACAGTCACAATCATTTTATTGTTAAAATTGATGCTTTTAACTACCTATAAAAAGAAAGTGTTTCTTCACATCAGTAAACTGTTCTTGAGAATGAGGATAACTTCCATTTTTAAGTCCAGTTAGAAATGAAAAAAAACTAAGGAATATTTTGTGAGTAGATATTAGTGGAATTTTGATATTAGGGGCATGAAAAGTGAAGCAAGTAAATGAGTAAGAGAGACTATCTAGTTACTTTATTTGTACATTTACAAATTATTTTTAAATTAATTTTTAAAAACAAGCATGGTGGTTGAATGAAAGTTGAGTTCATAACATAGGGTGGGGTCATATGTGTCATGTTTTTCTTTTAAAATATGTTGCAATAATTAATGATTTCTTAATGATTAGCTACTAGAGGGAGTCCTGGTGTGGCGCTGTGGGTTAATGCTCCAGGCTGCAAAGCCGTTTGAACTGCAAGGTTGGTAGTTCAAGCTCACCAGCTGCTCCTTGGAAACCCTATACAGGGTCACTCTGGGTTGGAATTGACTTGATGGCACTTAACAACAACTAGGGGTATGAAATCCAAATAACACTGACAGAACACACACAGTCTTGAAGGAGAGGCTTCATGAAATCAGCTTACTACAACATGGGCTGAGCTTTAGTTACTCCAGCCTCAGTTTTTCCACCAGAAGGCTCTCTGGTTTGAGCCATTTCTTTTGTCTTTTCAAGAACAAAAGACATGGCTAGGTTTGTTTTTCTTGTTTTCTGATATAATGATATTATAGATATTGTATTATAGAACATTGTTTTCAGTTGGTGTTGAAAAGTTATTTTCTGTGGTTGTGTATTGCTGGTGTCTCCAAAATGTTGTCAGTTCAGTATCTTACTAGCAGTTGTTTTCTTTAGTAATTGAGATGTATGAGTGCATAAAAGAAACAGCTAAAGGAAAAGCAGCTTGAGAAAGGTCTGCAAGGTCATTGTCGTTATTGCGTGCTGAAATTCTAGTTTCTTTAGGAAGTCATTTTTTCAAAATTCACTTTGCTTTTAGTTGCAATGCTGTTGTGCCTTTCAAAAGCACTTACAGGAGAAATTAATACACTAAAGACTGTGTTGTTAAGTGCCATCAAGATAGTTACAACTCATAGTGATCCTGTCTGTAAGGCTTCTGAGGAACAGTTGGTGGGGTTGAACTGCTGACCTTGAGGTTAGAAGACCAGTGCTTCACCACACCAGGACTCCAGATTAAATTATAGGAGAACATTTATATATATAAGAATGGGAAAAGTGTTTTTATTCATGGCATCTGAGGCAAAAACGATAAGATTAAAATGCTAATGAAAAACTGGGAGGGGGATTACGAAGAAGAGTTAATGGTTGTAATATATGATAAATTCTTAGAAGTCCATAAAAAGATGAAACAATGAATAGAACAAAAACAGGCAATGCTGTGAGCAAGCAGATTTCAAAATAAGTCAAAACCGTAAGAAACATTTCAGTTTCATCATCAAAGGAATTAAATTATAACAAGATATAGCATTTTAATATATGTCACATTTTTTACCAGATGTAACCAGTGTTGGTAAGATTCAAGGAAATGAACTCTTTCTGCTTATTTTTATTTTTTCTTTATTGTTCACAAAAACTCTAAAAATAGATAAAGCTTAGAAATAAAACCAAATGACTGTTTTGATTAGTTTGGGTTCTGAGATTTGTAGATGATGTGATTTTCTTCTAAAATTTGGGATGAAGAATAATTTTGAATGTAGGTCATCCAGATTTTTATAAAGTGTTATTTCATTATATAATGATGCAACTTTGTTTTATTCATAAGTTCAACATTTTATATATTGATGAAATCAAAATGTTTATACTTTTTTAAAACTGTGTTTTGGCTATCCAGCTCACCGTTAATGAAGCAGCTGCCCAACTCTGTGTGAAGGATAATGCTCTGTTGACTAGAAGAGATGAACTTTTTGCCCTGGCTAGACAGATTTCACGAGAAGTCACCTATAAATATACTTACAGAACTACCAAGTAAGTGTTAAACTACTTGGCAATATTTTTGCCTTGCATGATAAAAATGGTGTTTAAAACACCATCCATTGATAAGATACAAGACTTTCTGAAAAAGTAGAAGTGTGATTTAAAGCTCTAAATTATAAAATTAAACGGTGGTGACTTTTCACATGATTGCCAATGTAATTTTTTTTGTTTGATTTCTCTTCTGTTTTTTTTTTTTTAACCTCTTTCGAAAGTCATAGTTCCATAGACTGTTGCATTCATCTGGTAGTGGTTGTAGATGTTCTGCTCCCACTTCAGGTATTTCATGTAAGGGTATGCTGATGAGATATTTGTCCGTTGGCAATTATAGATTTAAATTTGTACCCTTTTATCCACATGAACTTAATGACCACTCTGACGGAGCAAAGTATTTCCTTTTACAAGGTGTTTGCAGTCTGACTAGATATACAAAATGACTCTGTGGCCAGTGTTTAAAAGAATGTTATTACAAGTGGAATTAGGAAAACTAGTTTGAAATTTAAAGAATAATGTTGTAAAGTTTAATGTAAACACCATATTATTATTATACTTCTCGTCCTCACTTAAGCCCTAAGCATTGACTATAGGTACAAGACCATTTGGTTTTGTTCATCGTGTTCCACAAGGAAAGTTTCCAGTGACCGTCCACGTGCTTGGCACTGTTCCCCTGAGCAGAGGCAGAGGATCACTTGCCTAAGTATAGTCCTGAGTATTTTCTAAAAAGTTATAAATGTGCTTCTAGCCCTAAAGAACTACAGTCTCTAGCAGTGGAACTCTGGAATCTGAACTTTGACTAGCATGTGAGTTGATTCCTATGGAGAGTCACATTTTAAAACCAGTGATTTTCGCGTTATTTACCCTAACTCATAGCAGCTTCTTCATTTTCTGCCCTACCTCAAGGACTTAATGAGAGGTTTTCAAAAAGCCCATGGAAAAATTCCATTTTTCAACAACCTTTCTCTGAAGCCCCTTGCAAACTGACAAGTAAAAGTGTATAGTCTAAATAAATAGGGTAAGAATATGCAGCAACATTGTAGGAGTCCTTATAAGATTTTTATTTTTTTGGAGATGGGGAACAGGTTGGGTAATCAAGAACTGATTGATTTTCCATTTTCTCCTTTATTATCCAAAATTTAGTTCTTGGATACTTTATTGAAATTATTTTTTAAAAATCAAAGTAATATTAATGCATGATTTAAGAAGTTGTATGTATATAAGGCTAATAAGGAAATAGCCATTCCTCTGCTTTCATTTAATTTTAACTTCTATTTTTATGTGTTTATATTATGCTTTTACATTATATAACAAATCTTAGAATCCATATAATGAAGTTTATACACGTCTTCCTCATTCTATTTTACTGCTGCATGATATTGTACAAGGGTGCTTCACAAAGTTCATGGGAAAATGATATTAAGAGGTAATGGATTTTTCATGGACTTTTTGAAGCCCCTTCGTATTGTTTGAATTGAAACTGATTCAAAAGCCAGTTTGTATGTATAGGTCATTGATAGATACTTAAACTCTTCCATTCTTTTGTCGTTGATAATAATATGACAATAAATGACCTTATAATACCATATTTTATTGATTTTTGAGGTGTACATTTTTAATATTTCTGAAATTGGGGTACAACTTAGAATTGATGGTGTGTCATAGTTTAATTGGCAGTAGCCTTTCAGAGCAGTACATGAAGTAATCATGTGTCTTACACATGATAGAGGATATTGTTTCATGTACACAAATCACATGGCCTTAAGCATTCAAGTTAAATGGTCATTAATCATTCCTACTGAATCATAAAGGGATTTCATGGAATGCAACCCTCTTTAAGTTTTATTCTTGTACAAATGATAATCATTAAACACTTAGTGACGGCTTTTTGTGAGGCATTCCTTGGTTGGAACTTCTTTAAATGTGTATTCTCTTTGTGTCTGCATGTTGTTGTTGTTGTTAAGAGCCGTCGAGTCGGTTCCGACCCATAGCGACCCTGTACAGGGTTTCCGAGGGTGTATATCTTTACAGGAGTAGAAGCCTCAGTCTTTCTCCCGCGGAGCGGCTGGTAGTTTCGAACCGCTGACCTTAAGGTTCACAGCCCGATTTGTGTCTGCATACTCTACCAATTTGGAAATGATGAAAAGATAAAATTTTCATAGTTTTAATGCTCATTATAACTGTATCTCTTGCTTCTGACATCAGAGTTAAATGTTTTCATAGATGGTTATAGATTGAGATGTCTTCAAATAAATTTTGTTACATTCTCAAATTTTTCTTTCCCTTTCCTCCACCCCTCAGGTCAAAATGTGGAGAAAGAGATGAATTATCCCCAAAGAGAATTAAAGTGGAGGTATGATTATGTATTATATTTTATTGGGCTAACCAATGCTTATTTCTATTTTAAGGTAATAAAAAATAAAATGAGGTCTTAGTAGTTCAGACTGAAAAAAGGATGAACCCATAAATTAGTGAAAAAATGTGAATTACAGAATTTTGATAGTTTGAAGTACCTGTAGTACTGGTGTGGCACCGTAGGATAAGCACATGACCTCAAGATTGGTTTGAATTGCAAGGTAAGTGGTTCAGATTCACCAGCCACTTCTTGGAAACCCTATACAGGGTCACTATGAGTCAGAACCCACTCGGGACTTAAATTCTGTGTTAACAACACAACACAGAATTTGAACTAGGATGGTAAGGAACTTCTTTGAAATAATAATGACTATGTTTATATGAAGTCAGTATATCAAATGTTGATTTGTAAATAAGCATTTCATACAAACTTAAAACTCTCCATTAGTTAAATCATTCCTTCTTTAATCTTGTATGCATCATTAGTTATCCATCAGATACATTCAGTTGAGTTTCTGTCTTAGGGAGATGACAATTCAGTGGCTGTAAATTACAGAGACTTTACCTCTGTTAGAGGATCATGCTTGGGGCTATCCTGACTTGAGAGTGTAGGTGGTAAGGGGGAATTAAGGCTTTCAGAAGTATAGGAGGGCTTCAGAACTACTGTTTCTTAATTTGGATTGAATATTTTTTTCAGGCCAGTCTACAACAGAGTTGAATTTTTTCTCATAGGCAGAGGATGATGGTTGGGACTTTCTTAATCATCCCATTAGTTAGTTTCAAGTAGGCATTGCTTGAATACCCTAAATTTTCTTCTCAGATTATACTTGCACAGTATCTGTTCGTATAGCAATAATGCTTTATCCATACTAAAGCTAGAGTTACATTTTCCAAAACATACCTCCCTTTCGGTTGTAAATTATTCCAAAGAATTTCCATTGTACTTGGGATAAAATCTAAACTAAACTCTACATGATCTACTCCGTCTTGCATCTCTGACTTTATCTGTTACTATACTTCCCCATTCTGACTCCAGCTACACTGACCAACTTTCTGTTTGTAGAACATGCCAAGTCATTTGTGCATCAGCATACACTGTGTTCTTTCTACCTCAGGTTATTTTTCTCTAAATTGTCACATGCCTGAAAGTTAAGTGGGATTTTCCTGACGTCCATACCTCTCTTTCTGAAGGATCTACCATGCCCCCAAATCACACTCAATCCTATGCTCCTGGTTTTGTTTTGTTTGTTTTCATAGAACTTACCACTTATCTGAATGTATTTGTTTTAAGTTTCTTATCAATATGCCATATGAGATGAGAATAGGGCTGGCTGGTGTATGTCTATTCACTGCTTTTTACTCAGTTGAAGCACCTAATTGCCACTTAGTAAGATCTGTTGGATGAAATGATGAATGGCTGTGAAGAAGCATCTTTGACTACTGAAAATTTTAGTCTTAAAGCAGTGGTTCTCCAAGAAAAAGATTCTGTCCAAAAGGAGACCATTTTTAAAAGTTGAACTTGTACTTGTTATTTAGTACCTCTGTTAACAGGTATTGGATGCATGTTTAAGATGGCTGTCCCAAGTATCATCCAAACTGTTTTAAGTACCTAAAAGGCCACACAGAAAGACAGTCTATTTGGTGAAATGATTTTATACTATTATATCTAACAAGATAACATATAAGAGAGGATCCCTCGAGAATTAGCATTATTAGTGACTCTTTATCATAGAATTAAAGTCAGATCAGCACAGCAGCTGCTAAGAAGTCATGTACCCTTAGAGGACTTTTACCTTTTAGAGAGGACTTTTAACAAAAGAAGGTAAATGTCCTATCCAGGGGCCACAAAGAGTCATCAGCTGCTAGGTATCCATTGGCCCTTGTTACGATTATGACGTCAACAATCATCTCTCTTGTTCCACATCCTCGTCTGCATCTCTCTTGAACCTTTGGCAGTTTTCTGTCAATGTATTGTTGCAGCTGTTTTTTCAATAGCTTCAGCAAAATTTTACTTGCATGTGATATTAATGATCTTGTCCGGTTTCCACATTCCATTGGGTCACCGTTCTTTGGAATAAACACAAATATGGATCTCTTCCAATCACTGGCCAGGTAGCTGTCTTACAAATTTCTTGGCAGATGAGTGAGTGCCTCCTGTGCTGCATCAGTTTGTTGAAAGATTCCAATTTATATTCCATCAATTCCTGGAGTTCTTTGCCAATGCCTTCAGTGCACTTTGCACTTCTTCCTTCGGTACCATTGGCTCTTGATCATGTGCTACTTCTTGAAATGGTTGAACATCAACCACTTCTTTTTGGTACAATGACTCTGTGTATTCTTTCTATCTTCTTTTGATGCTTTCTGTGCCATTCAGAATTTTACCCAGAGAATCCTTCAGTGTTGCAAGTCAAGGTTTGAATTTTTTCTTCAGTTCTTTCAGCCTGAGAAATGCCGAGTATGTTCTTTCCTTTTGGTTTTCTAACTCCAGGTCTTTGCATATTTCATTATAAAACTTGACTTTGTCTCCTCATGACTTTGTCTCCTCAAGCTGCCCTTTGAAATTTTTCTGTTCAACTTTTTTCTTACATTTGCTTTTGCATTTCTATTCTAGAGAGCAAAGTTTGAGAGTCGTCTCTGACATCCCTTTTGGTCTTTACCTTCCTTCTTAGCTTAATGACCTTTTTTTTTTTTACCTGTATGATGTTCTTGATGTCATCACACAACTCTTCTGGTCTTCAGTCATTAGTATCTAATGCATCAAATCTGTTCTTGAGATTATTTCTTAATTCAGGTGGAATATGTTCAAGGTCAGATTTTGACTGTCATGGACTTTTAAAAATTTTCTTCAGCTTCACTCTGAATTTACATATGAGCAACTGATGGTGCATTTCACAGCTTGCCCCTGATTTTGCTTTAGCTGACAATATAGAACTTTTTCATCGTCTCTTCTCACAGATATAAGTCAGTTTTATTTTGATGTATTCCATCTGGAATTTTTATGTTATTTAAAAAAGGTATTTGCAATGAACAAATAATTGGTCTTGCAAAATTCTGTCATGTGATCTCCAGCATCATTTCTATCACCAAGGCCATATTTTCTAACCAGTGATCCTTCCTCTTTGTTTCCAACCTTTGCATTCCAATCTCCAGTGATTATCAATACATTTTGTGGCCACAGGGGATGGGGAAAATTTCTAGCTTAAAAAGAAATTAGGGAAGGCTCCATTGAAGTATCATCTGAACTGAGTTTTAAAAGATTTCAGAAGGTGAGGATATGAAACAGGAGTGGAATTATAAAGATGGGCAAATGCACAGAGGTAAGAAAACACTGTTAGATACCAGTGAGTAAACCAGTTTGTCCAGAACATATGACTGACATAAACCCAAACACCAAACCTGTTGCTCTCCAGTGAATTCCCACTCATAGTGACCCTTTAGAGAGAGTAGAACTGCTCCATGTTATTTCTAGGCTGTGAATCCTTAAGGGTGCAAACTGTCTCATTTTTCTCATGCAGAGAGGCTGATGGGTTGATAATGATAACGTCTCTGGTTAGTAGCCTAATGCTTAACCTTATAAATACAACCAAAACAATGTGATAATTTTCTAAGCATATTTTATTTTAAAAAAATCTCTTTTAAGGTACTGAGTTTAATAATCTTCTCCTAAGAGAAAATAATGTAAAAATAAGCTTAAGTTTAACATGTTGTAAAGTATCACAGATTTAATGAGGCAGTTTTTTGCTTTTCATCTTTACTTTTCCAAAATCCATGACAACATCCAATAAACATACATGAGAAGCTGCTGATTTTATTTCATCTCAGAAATATAATTTTTACAATGATCAAAAAGAAATGCTAATGTCCAGTAGATAAACTAGAAATGGTATCTGAGTAATTAGACGTGTAAGGGAGAGAGAAATACTTTTGCATTGTTGTTGTTATGTGCCATGGGGTCGATTCTGACTCATAGAGACCCTGTTCAGGGTTTCTGAGGCTGTAAATCTTTACGGGAGCAGAACGTCTCATCTTTCTCCCGCGGAACAGCTGGTAGTTTCGAACTGCTGATCTTGTGGTTCACAACCCGATTTGTAACCACTACACTTTAGGAGGCACTAATAAAACCAGTGCTCTGTTCAGACTCAGTACATTTTCTTCCTGCTAAATGCTATATTTTTGTAATCTGTACATAAAGGTCTGTGTGAAATGAGCTTTTAAAATGCTTGTCTGATTCTTCCCCTTGGAAAACTTATAACATATTAGGTTGTACCTCTTTAAAGGAGGTTGCTATTTATTTGGGTCTTTTTTGTTTGTTTGTTTATTGTTGTCAGTGTTCACATACATACTTAGTACAAGTACATGCTCAGGATAATCTACTGTCCTTAAGTACTGCTCCTCACAGGACATGCTATACATTTAAACACAGAGTTTGAACTGTATTTCCTTACTTCTTAGGCTATATGAGATGAACTAGAGACAAACGTAGCCTGTTAGCTTGGGAAGGCCTTAGGGGAATCTGCCTTTTGGAATGAAACCTCTGGGGAAAGCACCTTCTAAACCAATATGATAGTAATTCAGGTTTGGGATATACTCTCCTGCCCAGGCTAGGTAATAGCTTGTCCACCTATTGTATATGACCCCCCATATAAGTCTACTTACAGCTTGAAATGGATTATGTTGATTTTTACTTTTCTTTTTCACCAGAGACTCTAAATACAGCTCTGGGCAAATATTTTATTCTTGAGGTAGTTTCTTAATTCAAGTGATATGTTCAAGGTCAGATTCTGACCTTGTGGACTTGTTCTTCAGCTTTTTATTGCATCTGTTGTGTGTCTGCTAGATTGGTTGGTGGTTATGTGCTGTGGAGTCAGTCCTTGCATGACTCACAGCAACTCTGTATAGGGTTTCCAAGGCTGTAAGTCTTTATAAGAGCAAAAAGCCTCATGTTTCTCCCATGGAATAGCCGGTAGTTTTGAACTGCTGTGCTCCTGCTAAGCATTG